GTTGAACTGCCATTCTATCTTCTGTGTTGGCTTGTTGACCTTGTTCACATCAGTATTCACACGTTGAAATTCCCTTTACCAATAATAACCACATGCTTGCTAGCTGCTTTCAGCTATTAGGAAAAACCAGAATGAATTGGAAAAAATAGTTGGTGATTGTAAATCCACGTAGAAGGGCCTCACAATGGTTGAGATGGAGTTTGTATGCCTTACACTGTGGGCCTGCACCTTCGTTGGATTCCTGGGCCCTGATCTCAGGTAGGCCTGGGTTGTTTTTGGCTGAACAGGAAGAATTGGGCTCTTCTATGGTTATACTGTAGCTAGGCAGATGGTCCCTGCTTGCGTGTGTGTGGGCAGAGGGTTGGTTCTTTGCTTTAGTAAATGCCTTGGGGCACACTTTTCGGTCTACATTAACAGCTCCTCGCAGATGCAGAGAAGGCTTCGCGCATTTAGTTAGTAATCGTAGGATTCGTAGCCTAGTTGTATGAGCATGTATCATATTATATACTACCTCCATCTGATTATCTATGGGACATGAAAAAGTGGCACATATGTTAAGGTAAGTGAAATTATGTGGTTGATAATGAATGAAATATGAATGAATTTTGATTCATACCAATATTACTAAATGTAGTATGAGACAAACTTAGTCGGACGGATAAGATAGGAAAGTTGGGACAAAGATAGTGTGGGACGAAGTTAGTAATATCTATCAAATAATAATATGTTTGGAATGACTTCATATTAAATGCCCTTTTTTGCCTTATGAAGCTGGGCTTACAAAACAGCCTTAGAAGAAAGAAGCTAGCTTGTTTCCCTAACTCAGTGAAATTATGAGCTGCAGTATTACAGTACTGAAATAATTCATATTTGTGATTTAACAGATCTTCTCAGCACTTTTTCCGATTGATGGATGTTTGTGCACATTGTGATAAGTCAGCTTCTGAAAATGTAAGCCACACTGGTCTGTCGCCGGGGAGTCATTCTGGTTGTGGACAATACAACAGTGCTCTAGATTCTGGCCTAGATGGTGATCTCAGGAACCGTTTGAGTGATTTAGTCATCATTCAAGAGGATCAACAGCTGTGTAATTCAAAGTTCTCAAAAGATGATAGGTTTGAAGGTACTCCTGACAGTTTCTCAGACAGGTTCTCCTCAAAAAAGTGCCTTGTCAAATTTGCAACCTTTCCTAACTCGACTAAGAGCTCATCTCCCAATGAGTCAATTCATCAAAGACAATTGGAGCAAATAAATGATGCACCTGCTGAACCTTTGGCACCTAATGGTGACGCAAACTCCACGCCGCTCTCTACACTCTCAAAATCTGTACCAGTAAGTTCTTATTGTCTTTGTGCATGATGGATTACTGTTTGCTCTCTCATCCATACCATTTGTTACGGATTAGAGAATAATTGCATGTTTTGTAAACATAGTTTTCATGGCGTCGTCTAGGCATAGATTAGGCATCCAGGCGGTGGAGAGCCCTCACCATGGCTGGTCACTTTGCACTCAGATGTCAACTAGGCATTCATAGGAGTATAGGACGCCTAAGTTATATTTATTGCCTATCCTATTTCACTAGGCAGTCCAACCACCAAGTTTGCATTTTCTTTCATAGATTTCTTCTTTCTATCTTCCCTTTTCATCTTTTAACATTGTACCTGACTTTTTCTATATGGTTATTTTCATTTTTTAGATGTCAATCACATGAATACTTATATAGTCTGTTTTTATTATAGTTTTTTTATATGCTTCTTCGTAATTGTTTTCATTGTATTGTTGTTAATAGCATGAATACCTAAAGTTTGTTGATCTTGTTGAGTTCAAGGTTCTGCAAGAGCTTAAGTGAAAATGGTTTACTTACTTTCTTCTCAATACAACAACATTACCTAGTACCGTAAAGGCTCTCACCTACGGTAGGGTAAGGAGGGTCGGATGTATGCAGCCTAACCCCTGTGCTAAAGAAGTGCAAAAATTACATGGACTGACTGCCCAACATAACAAAGAAGGGCAGACATTTTAGTGAGCCATATTATTTTGGGCTTCTGTCTTTGTTGAGTAATGATAGGCGCTGTAGAATTGACGCATCATGGAATTAGGCTGATTTCTCTCCTTGTTTCTCGTTTTGACAGAGTGCCACAAAGCTTTTATCTGCCATGAAGGGTAGCCGTGAGAAGCAGGGGATAGTACCCCATAATAAACTCCATGTCAGCTGGGCACCTGATGTGTATGATCCTCCTGTCTCAATACCAATTTCTCATGTGTCAATCAACAGACATCAACGCCACAGAAGCGATGGCAAGAAGAACGGGAAAAAGAATAAGCAGCAAAGCAGTGGAAAATCCTCACGAGCCAACAAGGGGAAAGACAAGAAGAAGCATGGGCGGAAATATGGTGGGAGCTGTGAGAGGGGATTCTATGAATTGGAAGACCACAACATAGTGATCTCATCACGCGAACTTCCCACTATCGGTCTGGATATTGATAGCTCAGATCGGTTATGTGGAAGCAGTTATCTCTATAGTTCTGTATCAAAGTTGCATTTTCCGCTTGCAGAGGCTTCGTGAGTGAGTGGAAGTGGTTTCAGCTTTGTCAGTTAGCGGCTTTTTCACCTATTCCTCCCCACCCCTACCCCACTCCACCCCGCTAATTGTGTTCTGTAAATAAGTAAGAGTGCTGTAATGCCTTGATCATCAGTTGTATGAACAAAATAAGGATCTGAATTGCTTGCTTTGCTTCATGGTGGCACACTATTTTCTGCATCCCATATGGTGTTGTCTCCAGTTTAAACCCTTTACTCCCGTGGTTTCATGTTACAGCTTGTTTGAATAAAAATTGATGTGAAACTGTGAAAGTATTGATGTGTTATCCCTCGCAAGGAATGAAACTGTGAAAGGAATGGGAATAGGAGATAAGGGTAAAAGGACGGTAGGAGCTGTCTTATCCCGAGGATGAAAATATCTGCAGAGGCATGGTTATTGTCTTATTGATATCAATAAATAAATAAATAAATAAATATTTTTTTAATAAATGAATTTTAATAAAATGACATGTTATGATAAAAAAAATGATATGTTAATTATAATTACATTGACGTAAATATTAGGGGGGAAATGCCAAATAAGTATTTCTATAAAGTTAATTGAAGTTTTATACGAGTACTAGTTTTTATCAATTACACCCTTATAAAGTATCTAAGTTAGAGACCTACCACTTTTGTTCTCTTTTCTTTGTCATTCTTCTTTTCCTATCATTCCCAGGTATTTTTATTACTCAATGCCCATAGCCCCATATCAACGATTCATTTGTTTCTACGGAGTATTTATCAATGTAAATTTTCGGATTTAATAACTACTACCTCCATCCCATAGCTACTACCACCGTCCCATATTTTAAGAAATAATTTTAGTAGGTATATATTATAGTGTATTTCTTATTGATAATTGTGATGTTATAAATGTATTATTTTTAATATTTAATGATTAATTTATCATTTAAGATTATTAATTGTTCACTAAAATAGAAATAAAAACTTTTATATAAGACGTCAAAAAAAGAAAGTGAGAATCTTCTAATGAGATCCTTATAAATAATGGGGTGCCCAAAAGGTGTAGACTATTCTATCACTATTATTGTTATATCCCCACTTCAATCCCATAGACACATGTTGAGGTCGAAAATGATTGGGTTACGGATCCCACTGTCTATAGTTACTGATCTATGATTGGGTTTTGGCGGAGATCGAAAATTCGAAATCACCCATGGGATTTGACAAAGTTTCAAAGTTGGCGTTCTATATAATACCGTTTCATAAATGTTGATTGAAATGGTAGAATGGATTAATCTACATTTCAATAAACATCTTATTGAAAAAGATAGACACAATTATATGTATAAACAATTTTTTTTACTTTAATATGAATTGTTTGTATACAGACTTACAGACAACTTTGTTTGTGTACGCAGACCAAGTGCATCAAAAGTGTAAATAAAAAGGTGTAAACCAATCATTCAATAAACGGTAACTCCATATTATATTCCAAATACTCCTCCGTCTCGAAAAGGTTCGTCAACTTAATTTTTTTGGTCAATGACAATCAACTTTCACCAATTATATTTTCAATACGTAATTATTTTGAATATCAAAATTATTTCAAAATGTTTCTTATTCAAACTATTTTCATAAAAGTATAAAAGTTATCTTTTATATATAAATATAATAGTTAAAATCATTGTTCAAAGTTTTTTATCATTGACTAAGAAAAATCATTATGGCAAACCTTTTCAAGACGCAGTATTAATTAAACAAAGGAAAAATTATAGAGTACAAGTAGGGATGGACTCGGGTCCGGGCCGGGTCGGGCCTAGGCCCGGGCGGGCCGGCGGGTCAGAAATGGTGGACCCGGGACCGGCCCGGGTAACCACCGGGTTCGGGCCGGGCTGGGCCGAGCCCATTATATTTTTGTTTTGTTTTCCTCTTCCTAATTAACCCCCCTCCCACCCTCAACCCCCAAACCACACCAAATGGCCCAAAATACCCAGCCCAACCCGAAAATTTAAAAAAAATTGAAAAAAAAAATAGTTTTTGGCCCGCCCGGGTCGGGCCTTGTTTTGGGTAACCCGAGCCCGGACCGGAAAACCCACGGGCCGGGCCTACCCGGACCGGTCACTGACCGGGCCACCGGGTCAGGCCGGGCCGGAACAGTACCGGTCCCGTGCCGGTTCCGGGTCGGGCCACCCGGCCCGAGTCCATCCCTAAGTACAAGAGGTGGAAGTATAAGAGGTGGCAAAGACGGTCGATCTTTTTCGGCAATATCAATCAATTCAATTAGAAAAGTTACTTTGACATTATTAAATTTGATTAATTCAACGCGTGAAGTTAAAAGCTTAATATTCGGTAAAAGAGTTAATTGACAAACCAGATAAGTCAAGAATGGAGGATACCAAACCAAATTTATTCAACATGAAAAAAGGGATGAGGAAACCATTAGCCAAGAGCCCAATAATGTGGGCAAAAATTCTCAATAGCTGGGACGCATATGAATTATGAAAAATGAGGCCTAAAGGCATGTATATATATGGGGTATATGATGGGTGATTGGTACTCCAGCTAAGCTATCTTCTTTTTCAAAATGAAGCAGCACTTCATTGAACTCTCTCTTCTTCTTCTCCTGGCTCTTTCTTCACTTACCTCCGGGACAGAGACTTCTCCTGATTACTTCTTCATCATTTTCCAAGTACAGTACTACCCAATCCTATTTAATTAAGGATTTACACTATTCCTCTTTTTTATTTTAGAACTTTTTATCGCAGTATTAATAGTTCCAATCATATGCAGTTTTTTTACTGGAATCCGAGGTCTTAAATGCACACTATTGAATCTATTTATCAAATCAGACTATGCTCAATTGTTCAAACATGTCAGAATAATTTAGACCAAATTAAACTAGTTCATACTTAAAGAGATCATATTAAATTAGTTCAGAGTTATACAGATTTCACATAAACTTTTTTTTTCCTCATTAATCTATTAACCTTTCATGTACCGTCAAGGCTTCCACCTACGGTGAGGTAAGAGAGTCAGATGTGCCGAGACTTACCCACCTAACAAAGAAGCTTAAACACTTTAGTGAGTCATTTTGCTTTATTATATCATATTTCCGAGACAAAAAGTAAGGAATCTTTTGGCTCCATTAATCTATTAACCTTAGTTTATGTGTGGATATCATATCATGCATTTCTTGCTGGACTTTAAACTAATGCACATATGTTGTTTTGCTGAATTAGTGGCCAGCTGCCACATGTGACAGCAAAGCAGGTGGTTGTTGCCTCCCCAAGAAAGGGAAGCCTGTCTTGAACGATTTCATCATTTCTGAGTTCCAACCTTTTTATGCTAAGGATGGGGTGACACCTACAAATTGCACTACTAAATCAAAATTCGAGCCATCTAAGGTACTCTATTTTCTCTCATTTTACCTTACTTACTTTCTTGGATTGTCCTAATATAAGTATCATGTTTTCCTTTTCGAAAAGAAATATTTAGTTCAGACCATTTGGCTTTATTGTGAGTTCTGAGCAAATACATATTTGTATATTTGAAGAATAGGTATAAATTTCTGCAAATATAAATTTCTGCAAATACATTTTGCTCATATTAACAAGTACAATATGTTCATACATTTGTATGATGAGAAAGTTCACGAAATAGGACTAAAACAGTTTGAAAATTCCAAAATAGAACTCTCATGTTTTTTATTCCCAAAATATGAGTAATTACTGCCATGTTTGAAGTCTGGTACTGCCAAAACATGATAGTAATTAGTCCTATTTTGGGAATAAAAACATGACAATCTTATTTTGAAATTTTCTTAGTCCTATTTCGGGTAATATTCTCTGGTAGGATTTGCCTACGACTGGTATTGTAGACAGTTAGGAACTCACAAATTAGTAATGATAAGTGAATGAAAAGAAAAGAAAACATCTTTACTGGTTTATAAAAAGGTAGTAAATTGAGCCGTTTAATAACACTATTAAGCAAAATTAATAACTCGCAATATGTGGGGCGGCCCATAGATTGCAGATTTGGTTCCAAGTTTGGAAAAGAATTGGCCATCCCTGAGCTGCCCAAGCAGGGACAGTAAGAAGCTATGGAAAGAAGAATGGCTCGAGTATGGAACCTGTTCTGAATCTGTTCTAAATCAGCATGATTATTTCGCCGCCGCCCTTAAAGCCCAAAAGCAAATTAATCTCCTCAAAATTTTTGCCGACGCAGGTAATTACTAGTCTAATTTTTGCACCTACTGAATTATGAAAAAATTATGTTTAAAATACTAAACAAATAAAGAAAAAATTACAAAAAAATAGATAAAATGTTTCTCAACAGTAACTTCAACCAATTCAACAAGAAAAGTAATTCAAACTTACATATTTTGATTATTATGTAATCCAGGGTGATGAAAAATTGATCGATAAGTCGAGATTTGTAAAAACTCTGTGGTAGAGATTTGTATAAAAGAGATCCCATTATTCATTTGATGGGAAGAACGAGTGTTTATATAATTGAGTAAAGTGAGGTGACTTGTATGTATATTTTGAAAACAGGAATAAAGCCAAATGGAACATACTATCCGGCGGAGGCGATAAACAAAGCGGTGAAGAAAGCGGGGTTAAATGAGGTGGTCGTACAGTGCCGAAATGACGAGAACGGGGTGAACGCGGTTCTGGACAAGGTGACGGCGTGTGCGACCACAAAGGGAAGCAAGAAACCCTGCCCCGGCATGTTCTGGATCTGTGATAGTACCAATGGAAACGCCGTCAAGTTCCTTCCACCCTCAACCTCCCTCTAATTTCAAGGAAGCTTTTTATTTCTGTGTTTTTTCTTTTGTGTGGGCAATGCAAACAAGAGGAGTCAAATAAAAAAGAAGCATGCCCCATTCATGTATTGTGAAATGCCCTTCCAAAATAAAGTTCTGTTTTGACTTTCACATGTTTGAATGTCGAAAGAAAGATCAATATCTGGCCTAAATTATCTTGTGTTGGTGTTTTTATTGATTTTCTTGAGAAACAGTCTCTATTCTTTTAAAATGAATGTGCTAATTCGATCCAAATAACTAAATAAGTAAACCAAGCATTCCAGTTCAGCTGGTTGTGAGGTTACCATGCGTCCGTGCCTAGTGGGAGGTCTCGAGTTCAAAATCCGTTAGGCACACAAGGGTTTGAAACTCAATGGAGTGAATTTCAGACCTGATTACTCCATGCCCCCTCCCCGAGATCCCTGGAGTAAAAAAAATAAGTATGAGACTGTGTGAGTGAGTTCTTAGATCCATTTAGGATGTTTTTACTTTACTTGGTCTGAATTTTGTTGGCTTGATCTGGTCTAATCTATTTAAGTCTAGTTTGTTCTGATCTAATCTGGTTTGGTAAATATCTGGTTTCTGAGTATTTTATCATTATGGAAGTGTGATGTGGTTTATTTAAGTCTGATCAGATCAGGTCTTATTTGTTTAAATCTGAAACTGAAAGTAGTCAGAGTAAAAACATCGTTACTTATAGGCTGGCGTGTTTATGCCGACTAAGAATGTTTACTTTTAGACTCAAATTTGCTGGTCTGATCTGATATGATCTGTTGGAGACTAGTCTAGTTTGAACTAGTCTAGTCTGGTAAATATCTTGTCTCTATTTTTTACGGAGTACTCCGTATATAACTATGAAAGTCTAGTATGCCCTAATCTGTTCTGTTTAAGTTTAGTCTGATCTAATCTGGTCTGCTATGGTCTATGAGTAACACCAACTTCCAAGAACCACATCTTCGGTGAGTTTCATAACTATATTTTGTTTTGGTTTATAAGGATGTTTTTACTTGGACTGTAATTTGCTGGTCTGGTCTGGTCTGATCTGGTCTGATCTGGTCTGGTCTGAACTGGTCTGGTCTGGTCTGGTTTCTTTGTATTTTTATAACTATCCAAGTCTGGTCTGGTCTGGTCTGGTCTGGTTTGGTCTGGTCTGGTCTGATCTGGTCTGGTCTGGTCTGGGACGAATTACAGTCCAAGTAAAAACATCCTAAGTCACGTATTTTAATTAAATACGTAGTATTTGATTTATTATTTCAAATAATTTGGCGGGCTATGCTGGTCTTGGCTGACAATGATGTGTTTAGCGACGAATGGTGGCAGGTAGAAGGACAATGATAGCTCGAGAAGGATGAAGCCCAAGTGGAAGATGGGTGTAGTAAGCGGTGACAAGTAGAAATAGAGTAGGCCTACAACATGAAAATACTTTTTAACTTTTTATATAAAAACTAGCTATAAATAAACCTAAGCAATTTTGTCTTCCGAGTATAATGATCGAAGAAAGTAACAAAACAAATGGTTAGAAAACATATACGGAGTATTTTTGTACTTCGTATTTGATAAGTTACACTCGAGAATATCATGTACCTAAACCGCTCGAATGAAATAAATAGTTCAACTATTACTTTCTTAAAAAAATCAATTAGAATAGGGAAAGATGTGGAAAATATATCGCATAAGGAGTATCTTAGTCATATTTCAAATCATTCTAAAACAAATTGCAAGTTTTTAAATTATGAATACTATAACTCCATCTTTCACTTACCTGAGAGAAAAAATAAATTAGCGAAATACTATCAATTAATCATGAGTGTACGTACATTAGAGAAAGAAATCAAAAGAATAATGATGGAGTATATGGGTCTGAGCCCCCGGACCCACATACTCGGAAGAACAGAAAGCATAAGACAACAAAGTGGCGCCCTCGTCGGCCAAGACGCCCCTGTCGGCCGAAAAGGGGCCAACACAGATTATGGTCCTGAGCCCAAGGAACCCGGGTGCCCTCGTCGGCCGTGCTCTCGTCGGCCACGCCCTCGTCGGTCACGCCCTCGTCGGCCACGAGGACCTCCCAGAATCGGATTTTATACTTATTCATTTGTACAGCCCATTAGTGGCTTTGTATTCGGCCCAGTAGCGGTCCAGTTGTAAATGGGCCTCCCAAGCCCAAGGCTTGGGAGCCCAACCCTAATTTTCTCTATAAATACTCCCCTTGGGAGTAGTTATGGGGGTGACAAATTCATTCTATTGAAGCATATTATTGCACTTCTCTCTCTAGCTCTCACTTCTCTCTAGATATACTCTATCATTTGGTGCTCTCGTTGAGAGCTAGAACAATCAAGTTAGCACCCTTCGTCGCTACCAAGCACAGCTAACCACTGATCATGGGGAGAACTAAGTCAAACCGCAACCTCGTCAGCAAAGTCATCCCTGAGGACCAAGAGCCCAGGGAGCACGATGAGGACGCCACGGCCGACCAGGCCGGCGGAGGAGATCTCTTCCAGGAGGCCTTCAACCTCACAACGGACCTCCGCAACCAACTCAACGGCGGCGCCCCTGATGCCCGCCTCGGCTTGGACAAGAAGCGAGCTGAAAAGACGGATCACGCCCCGGCCCAGCCTATGGCCGCGGCCTCTCCGTCCGTAGATCCTCAGGTCCAGGCCGCACTATCGGCTATCATCGCCAGCTTGGCTCAGAACCCCACCGTCCTCAGCGCACTCTTGCCAAGGATTGGGGGGAACGTCACTCAACCTCCTCAACCCCAACCGTTGGCCGTCCAGATTGGCAACGACGAGGGGGTGGTGCCCCAGGACACGGCGTCGTCCCACTCCCACCCTGCTTCCCCTCTCCGGCCCGGGCAGACCCCAGCGCGTGGAAAAGCCTCTGCCTTCAAAAGGCTAGGTGACACGCGCCGTCGTCCGGTTTCGGAGAGGATGGCGGGACGGATTGGTGATCCTCGTCCTGGCTCGCCAAGGGAAAGCTTGGGGTCTGTGTCCCGGACAGCGGACCAGCCCCGCTCGGATAAGGGCAAGGGGAAGTTGCACGAGGATGACGTGCGTCACCAGATCAACGCGGCTCACAACGAGCGTCTAAGGAACCAGCCGGGCGCCGCTGCGGCCAACAGGGACCCCCGGGACGAGGTCATCGCCCAGCTGGAAAGGAGGCTAGCTCAGATGGAGGCCAAGCAGTCGGCCAACATCCCTACGGCCGGCGCCTCCAACGACCCCGGCCTCAACGCGCTCATGAACAAAGTTAGCGCCCTGGAGAGGGAGCTGGCCGAAGGGCGGGGTGACCCCATCATCCAGGTCAGGACTAGGACCCCTTTCACCAACAGGGTCCTCTCGGCCCCCATCCCTGAGAAGTACAGGGGGAACGCCATCAAGCCCTACGATGGCCGGTCGGACCCCCAGGAGCACTTCAGCCGTTACCAGAACAACATGCTGATGGTGAACGCGTCCGACGAATACCTCAGCCGTTGGTTCCTCTCTACTCTCGAGGGGCCAGCGTACGAGTGGTTCAACGGGCTCCCAGAAGGAAGCATCGACTCATGGCAGGATCTCGCCCAGCGTTTCCTCACTCACTTTGCCGGGAGGAAGCGCGCAAAGAAGTATTTCACCCACCTCCTCTCCATCAAGCAGCAGCACGAGGAGTCCCTCCGGTCATTCATCGATCGATGGACGAGGGAGACCGAGGAGGTCGAGGGGGCCGATGAGCGCACCCTCCTTGCCTTGTACCAGGGAGCCCTCCGCAGCTCCCCGTACGCTAGGAGCCTCATCACCGACCCCCCGAGGTCGTACGCCAAGGCACTTCAGCGCGGAGGCTTGTACGCCGACGCCGACGAGCTCCACAGTCACAAGAGAGAGGGGGGCCATCCCCCCAAGAAGACAAATCCTTCGCCGGCCCCGGGTCCGTCCCCGGCCGGCCAGGGTGCCCAGGGCCGTCACGGCTCTGGTGGACAGAGTAAGAAAGACCGCCACTGGCGGCCAAGGCTGGAACGGCCGGGGGTAACCCTCACCCACCCGGTCGGCACCATCCTCGATTATGCCGAGAAGCACGGCCTCATCGAGCAGGCTCCTCGGCCGGCCGAGGAGATCCTTGCCATCCAGCAGGGCGGCACGTACTGCCGGTTCCACAAAAACTCGTCGCACAACACCGACGAGTGCATCACACTAAAAAAGGCCATCGAGCGCCTTATTCGCCAGGGGGAACTCTCCCAGTTTGTCAAAGGTGGCCCACGCAAGAACACTTGGGTAAACACCGGCAAACATGGAGGCGAACCCTCTGCGAAGAAGCGGGAGATTGGTAGGCTCATCGACGACGAGGACTTCGAAGAGCCTCCACCAAAGAAGAATCACATCCACCTCATCGTAGGCGGGAACACTGGGGGGGACTCCGCCACTCAGAGAAAGAAATGGGCCCAATCCCTTTACATTGGGGAGGTATCCCACGTTCCCCCCCAGCCAAAGAAGCAGCGAACGGAGGCGATCACCTTCACCGACAAGGATCTGCCTCCGGGTACGGAATCACACAGGGACGCCCTCGTCATCCGATGTGAGATCGGTGACTCCATCATCCACCGTACTTACATCGACACGGGGAGCTCCGTCAATGTGATGTACTTGGACACATTCAAGCAGCTGAAGCTGGACAGAGCTCTGCTGAAGCCGATCAAGACCCCGTTATCCGGCTTCACCGGGGACTCTATCGACGCCGAGGGCACGATAGTCCTCCCCGTGGAAGTCGGTGACGGCCCCCACCATGCCAAAATTGACATGGAGTTCATGGTGGTCAACCTCCAGTGCGCCCACAACCTGATCTTGGGCCGGCCAGCGCTGGAGGACTTGGAGGCCATCATCTCCATGAAGCACCTATGCTTGAAGTTCCCCACCAATGACGGCATCGGCTACGCCAGAGGAAATCAGAGGATAGCCAGAGCTTGCTACCTCAAGCTAACGAGGCCGGCCGAAAGGGAAGGATAGCGGATAGACACCATTACGGCCGCCGTCGCCATGGACGAGGAGAGGCCACATGCGGAGCCGGCCGAGGAGGTCGAGGAGATCCCCCTGGATACCTCCCGGCCGGAGCGGGTTCTCAGGGTCGGAAAGCAACTCCCCCAGGACCAACGAGACGCCATCCTCCTCGTCCTACGGTCATACGCCGTTTTCTTCGCGTGGGGCCCGGACGATATGCCAGGCATCAGCCGCCAGGTGATCACTCACCGGCTGACCGTCGATCCGGCCTCCGCGCCGGTCAA